CACACACACACACACACACACACACACACACACACACACACACACACGGGCTGGATTTTGCAGTCCACCTCCTCGCCTCTAGCCCTGCCTCTCAGTCTAAAGTGCTGCTTACTTAGCATAAGCCTTCTCCAGCAGAGCGCTCCAGAACTCATTGTGGTGGTTGGATTTGGTGAAAACCAGTTCATTGTTGTAAGTCGGCAGGCAGTCATCAATAACCACGTCCACCCAGTCTCCATAGCGCCAGAACTGCACAGAAGCGTCAAGCACAGAGTCACATCCTCAGATTACCATTGGGAAATGTGTCCCTACCCCACATTCCTTAATACCAAGCACCTTGGGTTTGGAGTGTGTGACTCTTTCTCTAACTGGACTGGGAGCTCCTTGAGGGCAAGAAGTGGTTTACAAACCACCCTGTCTTCCACCCAGTCCAGCTCGGTATGGGGGATGGTCGGCGCTCCCTACATACCTGAGGGCTTGAGATTTTCCTTTTCCTGCTCTGTAAGTCTGGGGTGTGGCTTAGGTATCAGTATTTTTAGGCATCTCAACTGATCCTGATATGCAGTCAGGGTTGAGAACCACTGGTCTAGGTGAAGATGATGTATGATTTCTGTATTTCTTGATGACAAATAAGGTAGAAATTGCTGCTGAAGAAGAAGGATTGACGTGGAAAAGGAAAGTGACCCAGAATATACTCTGGCTAAAGCAGGAACACTGTCCAATATTCTCAATTCTGGATGATGTTCTTTTTTGAACAAATCAGTTTTGACCCAAGAAATCCAAATGTAGTTTAATTTCCTTCTAATGACATTTTCTCCCTTACAGACAAGAGGGCAAAAATCTATCTGGTCTTTGTGTTTATGATCCTTTAGATATCAGACCTTTTAAATATTTGAGGGAGGTGAGTCGCTTAATTTTGAAGAAACAAAATTCAGGGCCCAGCTGCCTTGCCTGAGCTGGGACAGCAGCAGGACACTGATCCTGAACGTGCAGAGAAGACCCTTTCTGAAGTCTTCAGTCCTGGGAGAGGAGATCAACTGATGATCTGGGTCAGCCCAGGACATTTGGAGCCTTAAGGGCTGGAGACAGATTGATGCCTCAGAACCCCAATATCTGCTAGATGCCCACATACGAAGCTCATCTCAGTTCTGGGCCAGCACAGGGTTTGGCTCTTTGCCAGGACAGTTTGGATCCAGAAAGTTTCCAATGGCTGAATTGATTCTGGAACCAAAAGACTCATTGCTGGGCCGAAGCAGAAGCCTGGTTCCCAGATTAACCAGACTTTTCTTCCAGAGGCTGGAAAGGGTGCGTGATAGTCTTGGTATAGACCTGTGTTTAAGGGACACAAGTAAAAAGGAGCTGCAGCTGTGGATGGGATTGCCTTTACAACCTAAAGGGCCCTCTGGATTCCCAGTGCTAGTATCTTAGGGATTTACTTGAGAAGGGCTGCCAGTAATAACACAGAAGCCAGCCAGCTGGAGAGGAAAAAATAGACCCACAGGTCAGCAAACAGGATATCCTCCAACCTTTCTGGGGCCTAGCGGAAGGTGTAGGGGTTTGAGGGTAGGAAGAGATAAACAACTGCTTCCTCACAGGCTTGAGGCCTGAAGGGGATCACTGCCCACATCCATGGCCGGGAGGGTGGGTGGGAACCTTTCCTGGAGCCACTGGGAAGTGAAGGCAGGGAGACCAGTGGTGAGTAGACAGCAGCTGGCCCTCTTAACTACACTCCCTTGACCTCACCTGGAAGTGAAAGATCCCCGCGTAGTTTTCGGTGAAACTCTGATCATGGGGTATGACCCGGAAAAGCAGTCGCTTGTTCAGGGTCAGGCAAGCGATGGCTGCGAGAAACCAGCAGTCCCCTGCAGGCAAACACGCGGCACAGGTCACGGGAGGGCCCACACCTCCAGGGAAGACGGAGACTCCATCCCCATCGGCTGCTCTACTTCTCTGGAGAAGGGCGTTCACTTGGCATTCACTGTCCCACTTCCAGATCTGACCTTACAGAGGTGTCAACCCAGGGAAGGAGTGTGACAGCAGTCTCTAGACCATGTGATCAACAGGGTAACTTACTCCCTTGTGACTGGCTTTCCTGAAAGCTGTAGGCAATTCCTCTGTCTGCAACATAAGCTCAGACCTCCATTTGGACCTCAGTGGAGATGGGGCAGTAGGGGTCATAACTGGGTCATTCTTTCCAACACCCACAGGAAATCTGCCTGCCCTGTAACTTTGCAGTGTGAGTCCATATCCCCTTCGGACCTTGGCAGAGACTGAGCATCTGAGAGCCATCAGTGCAGCCCATTAGTATTGTAAGGAAAGCTGGCTAGTAGTTGGAGGCGGCACTTTGCCCTGTGTATGTGTGTATGCGTGTGTGAATGCCCAAGGGGCAGGCCTGGATCACTAACAGAGCACAGACTATATACAAGGCCTTCGTTGTGCTCTGTGGGATATGACAGCATCTTTGAGACTGCAGAGGGGAGGCTGAGAGCTGCCACAGCCCTCCTCCCACCATTGCCCCCCCCAGACCCCCCCAGGCAGCCAGCCTCTCCTCTGAAACAGGCCCAGATTATTAGCTTGCCCAGGGCTCTGCAGGCAGTCTTCCCTCGAGTGCAGGAACTCAGATATCCAAAACTTCTTCAGCCTCTCCTTCTGGGGCCAGATTAGCCAAATTCATTTGGTCTTGAGTGCCCTTTTCCCACAAGTTTTAAACTGTGTTTGTCGATGTCTCTCCAACTTTATTTCACAGAGCTTTCCCACAGTCCACACCAAAGATAATACTTCCCGAACAAGAGGCTGAGACAGAGGAAAGACTGGTGAAGCAGACAAGCTAACCAACCAGACAGAAAACTGGACGCTCATCCACATGGCAAATGTCGTCTTTGTTGAAAGACTCCTTTAATATGAAGCTATTCTGGGGCAATTTCAACAAGAGTTCGAGTTACAAAAGCACATTTTGTGAGCATATAGATTCCATGTGCCCAAGGGACACGCGTGGTACATGGACAGTTTCAGAGCTGACTTCTAAGGAAGGTGGGTACAGCTAAAAGCAGGGCTTTTGTCTCGCTGAGTGGGGTGTGTGAGTGTCCTGGAGACTCTGGAGAGGAGGCTGTGGAATGAGGCACACCTCCTGTGACACAAGGCAAAGAACTAGTGAGAAAGGTGGGAAGGACAGAAATTAAATGAAGCAATCACCAGCGCGTTGATAAATGAGTATAAGGTAATGTTATCAAAACCTCCTCCCCCCAGTTCATTAAAAGCAAAAACAGGTTATTGTCCCTTTACTTACTGTGAAGGGATCACATCTTTTAATCACCCCTTGATTGTTTGGCTAGATATGACCCGAGGGACTTTCCTACCTAGATCTCCTTGACAGATGTCAGTTCTGTTGGCTCCGCCAATGATAAATCGGGGATTCTCACAAATTTCCTGTGAAACAAAAAGGAAATAATAATAGTAGCAGTAGCTATTATTTACTGAGGTCCATACGTAGTACTGGCATCACATATCAAGAGTTTTACACACACCACCCATTTAAACCTCCAAAAACAGCCCATGAATTGGATACTATCATTCTTGTTTTTCAGATGAGGACACCAAGGCCCAGAGAGGTTAAGAAACCTGCCCAAGGACACACAGCTAGTAAGTGAGAGAAGCCAGATACATGGCTTCTTTTCCCATTGTTCCACACTGCTCCCTCACACTGATATACTGTCTGAGTAAAGATGCACCTTGAGAGTTAGGGCAGTGTCATTACTGTCACAGCTTTGGAGGGACAATAGAAAACATGGCTCTTGCTTTTTTTTTTTTTTTTTTTTCTCTGCCAGGGAAAAGAGGTACAGGAAGGAAAGTAAATATCTTTTTCCCCAAGACATGGTAACATAGATATTTAGTATCAGCATATGTCCCAAGGGCCACAGGACTTGAAAGCTGGGGAGAGCCGAGGGTAAATTTGGTGTGGGCCTCAGAGGCCTCCCCATCTGTTGGCGGGTGCGTTCTTTTTTTTTTCTGGCGGGTGCGTTCTTTATTCAAGGTAACCCAATAGGACACCCCTGGCCTGAGCAGTTTTCAAATCCAGGCACTACCAATTATGTGTATTCCAACAGAGACCAACAGAGGGTGCTCTTGTTTTTGTTTGGATGTGTCATGCTTTGGGGTTTTTTTGTTTTTTTTTAATTTTTTTATTATTTTTTATTCTTTGGCTGCGTTGGGTCTTCGTTGCTGTGCGCGGGCTTTCTCTAGTTGCAACAAGCGGGGTCTACTCTTCACTGTGGTGTGCAGGCTTCTCATTGCAGTGGCTTCTCTTGTTGCAGAGCATGGGCTCTAGGTGCACGGGCTTCAGTAGTTGCAGCATGCAGGCTTCAGTGGTTGCGTGCGTAGGCTCAGTAGTCATGGTGCGTGGGCTCTAGGGCGCGCAGGCTTCAGTAGTTGTGGCGCACGGGCTTAGTTGCTCTGCAGCGTGTGGGATCTTCCTGGACCAGGGCTCAAACCCATGTCTGCTGCATTGGTAGGCGGATTCTTAACCACTGCGCCACCAGGCAAGTCCCCATGCTTTGTTTTTTAACTTTTGAAATAATTGTAGATTCTGTGTTTTTGTTTTAACACCATTCTTCACAGCTTCAAGAAGCTTATCCCAGTGACACAGCCCTCTCCTTCTGTCTCCCCCATCACAACAAGCTGGTATACTCACATGAGTTGAAGCTCCCTGCACTCAGGAATCTCTCTCTCCTACTAGATGGAAAGTCAGTCATGCTTAGACCACACCACACACACATCCCGCCTGAAGTTCTTAATCAATGGAAGGATAAACCCAAAACAATAATTTTTAAAAAGGTTACCTATAGGAGAGGGAAGGATTAAGGGGGTGAATATAGGGATGGAAGTAAAACTCTGAATATAACTGTTTGAAAATAGCTTTGACTTAGGAATCATGTAAATTTTATAGAATTAAAAGCCAAAATTAAATACAATTTTAAAAAGCAATCTTTAAAAGCTGAGAGCAAATTGAAGCAAAGGAACCAAACTGCTTATCAAATTGATGGCATGGCCACACACATAAAATGAATTCTTTCAAGTGACTTAAAATATAAAATTTTGGTTGTTTATTCCTTTTGGGATATAGCCTAAGGTCAAAAACCAAAACCATAAAGAAATGTGAACCATAATAAAGAAAAATAACATTGTTATTACTTCCAAACTTTGACATGTAGGATAAGGTAAATAAGAATGTACATTAATGTCATTAGGAACCAGGATATTTTTAGTGTAAAAGAAAATATGTAAAATGATAAAACTGAATGACTTAAGTAACAATCCTGCAATGTTAAAGTTGAATTAGATATATAACTCATGATTTATTTTTGTCTCCCTAGAAAAAATTTTCTATCTCTCTGCACTAAAACAAAAGAAACAAAAAAACTAGAAGCAGTAAAAATCTAGCAGTAAAGAAAACATCAACATCTGGAATGTGGTCTTTAAAAACCATTTCCCACTAATAAAATATAAAACTCTCATTATTCCAAATAAGAGTCTTTCCTCTTAACAAAGAAACCAATTAAGGTATAGTCAACATATGTTATTTTTGTCTCCCCAGTGTTTTGCCTCCTTAAAATACATACCACTTTCTCCTGGCATTACACCTCAATTTTCAACTGGGGAGCAGCACCACTGTCAGCCCATGTTGTTCTGGTGGGCTTCCTTCTTCACCCAGATCCAGATGGCTATTAAGGGCAATTAGAGTGAGAGTGACTGGTTCAGGGATGGGCACATGACCAAATCTGGGCCAATGAGATATGGGCCAAGACTTTCGTTTTAACTATTGAGAAAGAAATACATTCTCCTCTGGGAGTTACTAAGCTGGTGGAGTGTCAGCCTGAAGCTGCTGGTGGCCATTTTTGCCCCTTTGTGAAGTTAGCCCACTCGAGAATAAAGATAACTCAGAGGAAGCAGATGGGGGAGTGGGTGGAGAGGTCGAAGGTGATAAATAGATAGACAGGTAGATAGACAAATAGATGATATTAGGGATTGTGTCTTGATGACATTGTTTGAGGCCTGGATTCAGTGTGTCTAAACCTGATCATCACTTTTGAACATTCAAGTTATAGAGCTTTTTTTCGGTTTAAGTTAGTTTGTGTTGGGCCTCTGTTACTTGCCAGCTGGGACACTTGACTACTGAATGTCATGCCCTGTTATAAGGAATATATTATAGAGTAACTCAAATACTAGAATTATAGCTACATTTTTTAGCTGTCACAAGGATAGATTTCTCTCCTTGGGTCTATAGGTACAGAAGCACACCTCATCTCCTCACCTGCCGCCAATTCCAGGGCTGACTACTTGACAACTGCACTGCCTTCTCTTCCATCTGCTTAGAGGTCCAGGTATTTGAATGGAGTTACATTTTTTGCAGTAGTAGAGATTCCCCAATATACTACATTTACCTTCAATACTACCTCAGCTAAATTCACCAAACATTAATTGAGCTTCCAAGTATGCACAGGGCTGGGGGATTTAAGGATATAATAAAAATAGGAAATCGTCCCTGCCCGCCCTCCAGGAAACCCCCAGCCTAGGGACCCTCAGTTGTTTGTCCTCGTGAGAGATGTCTGTTTGGTGAGGGTCAGTTACCAAACTTGTTGAGGGTTAATTCATAGAACAGCTAGATTTACCTAGATACCCCTTCCCACCACCTACTTTCCTGGAGTATCTGAGATCTGTTTTTGTTGGTTAATATGAACAAAGGGTAAATTGTCCTGGCTCTGTCACTTTAACTTAGGGACCTAAGACTTCCGGTCACTTCTTTGGCTATAATTTAGCATGGAGACTGGATCTGTCAGTGATGGATTCCCAGCAATTAGCAACAGATGACCATTTCCTCAGTTTTTGAGTGCTGTGGTTTGCAAACATTTTTTTTATTGTATACCTCCATCATTAAAGTATTCTGAACATGCAACTGTACATATTCTTATTAGTTTTAAATTATGTGTGTGTGTTATCCTAACATATAATGTGCATTATAAGAAAAACAAAAGCATACATTTAAAAGGGTGGGCTAATATAGATATATGTAGGGGACTTCTGGTTTCAGCTCCAACCTGTAAAAAGCTTGGAAGTCATCCCTCCCATCCTTACCACAAGAAAAAGCCAAACACCTGAAAACCAGTGACTTTGCTTGGATCCATCAGAGAACTGAGGTTGCAGGGCAACCTACCACCCTGAGATATGGACACAAGTGAAACCAGAGAGTTATAGCCAAGATCTGTTTATCTGGAACAGAAGCTGCCTCAGCCACAAACTGGGAGGAACACTTAAATGGTTACTTTGATGAATTTCAGGAAGCTGAGTGTGGACTAGCACAAAAGTGAGAAACTTCTGGAGGCCACAGTTTTGGGAGAAACCCCCAACCCTTTCATGGTTTTTACCTCCAAAAATTCCAAGTTCTCATGGTGAAGATCCAAGAAAGATCCCCCCTACAGGGGAAAAGACTTTTCCAGTCTTACCTATGTTGGGGGAAGTGTATTACTCCCACTCCAGCCACCTCCAGGCTTTCTCACCTAAGAAGGGGTAAAAGCTATACCAATGGAGAAACGTGTATGAAGGTCATAGCCCAGAGAGACAGTCTCATTAAAAGAAAGAACTTTAATCATTAGATTATAGAACACTTCCCCTTCCTGATCATACCACCACATCAACAGAGCTCCAGTGAAATAACAGTGACTTACAGCTGAAAGAGCTGCAAGATGTAAACTCTGATAAGTATTTAGGAAAGCCCAAAGTCAAGAGAGGAGACAAAACAAGGATATTAAAGGAATTTGAAGCTTCTGACTCCTGCAGCTGGAGGAAACAAACACAGCACAACTTCTAGCCAGCTTAACATAAATCCTTATACCAAAGGCTACTGTATCTCAGTTCTTACTACCCAAAGCAACGTGACTGGCTTTCAGTAAAAAATTACAAGAGATGCCAAAAGCAGGCAAATGCAATCTGAAGAGCAAGCATCAGAACTAGATTCCGATATGACATAGATGTTGGAATTATCGGTCAGGGAATTTAAAATAACTATGATTAGTATGTCAAAAAGTCTAATGGAAAAAGTACATAACATTTAAGAAAAGATGTGCAATATAAGCAGAGAGATGGAAACTCTAAGAAAGAATCAAAAGGAAATGATAGAAATAAAAGACAGTATAACATGTATTTGATGGGCTCATCAGTAGATTAGACATGGACAAGAAAAAAACTCAGTGAAATTGAAGATGAGACAATAGGAATTTCCTAAAATGAAATGCAAAGAGAAAAATATAACAGCAAAAACAACAACAACAAAACAGAGCAGAACATCCAAGAACTGTGGGACAATTCAAAAGGTTCAGCATGTGCATAATTGGAATACTGGAGGGAAAGAACAGAGCAGAAGAAATATTTGAAGTAATAATGTCCAAGAACTTTCCAAAATTAATGACAGATACCAAATCACAGATCCAAGAAGCACAAAGAACATCAAGTAGCATAAATGCCAGCAAAATAAAACATAACTACACTTAGGCATATCATATTCAAACTGCAGATAACCAAAGATAAAGAAAAGATCTTCAAAGAAGCCAAGAGGGAGAAAAATACCTTTGCTCTAGAGGAAAAAAGACAAGAATTATAGTAGACTTCTCTTCAGAAACCATGCAAGCAAGAAATATTTAAATTGATGAAAGAAAAACCCACCAACCTAGCATTCTATATGCAGAGAATTTATCTTTCAAAACTGAAGGAGATTAGAGGCTTTCTCAGACAAATAAAACCACAGGGAAGGGACTTCCCTGGTGGTGCAGTGGTGAAGACTCCATGCTCCCAATGCAGGGGGCCCCGGTTCGATCCCTGGTCAGGGAACTAGATCCCACATGCATGCCACAACTGAGTGCGCATGCCACAACTAAGGAGCCAGCGAGTTGCAACTAAGGAGCCTGCTGGCTGCAACTAAGGAGCACACATGCTGCAATTAAAGGAGCACATCTACCGCAACTAAGACCCGGCACAACCAAATAAATAAATAAAATAAATGTTTAAAATAATAACCCACAGGGAATTCATTTCCAGCAGACTTGGCTTACAAGAAATGTTTAAATAAGCTCTTCAAGGAGAAGGAAAATTATATAGATCAGAAACCTGGACTACATAAAGAAAGGAAGCACATCAGAGAAGGAATAAATGA